ATTTTTAAGAAATATAAATTTTTGTGTTTTCGCTCCAAATAATCATATATTTATAGCCAAGTAAAACTAAAAGTCACCCCATTCCAGAGCTTAACCTACATCGGCCATAGGATAATATTCATGGACATGGCCTTGAAAAAGGATAAATAGACAATAAAACAAAAATAACCATTACAAGTCTCTATTAAAATAACATTCAAGGGGAGGGGGTCGGCAGGGAGGAAGGGGTCAGAACTGCACCTGACCCTCCCAGGTCTACAGAAGACCTAAATCTCGATGATTGATTGATGAGAAGACTCGGCTGTTTCTGTCGCAAATATAGACAAATTGTACAGATAAAAGAAGAGCCGAAAGGCACAACTCTTCTATGCTTCACAGACTGACGAATACTACAGAGCGGAATAAAAAGATTTTTGAGCGTTATTCTATACAAGTATGTCGTTTTTCAAGAATTTTACACTCTAAACAAATAAAAAAACATTTTATTTGTGCAAAATCTTTGAGGAGGCTTGACCTCTTTTTTTCTACTCTGACGAGCTGTAACTGAAGAAAGTATTGCTCATAGGAATAGTTTTAATTTTTGTAAGTTTATAAGATCTGTTTTATCTGAGTACATTTTGTTATAACTTTTTCCATAAAAAGTATGGTTGTGTGCAAAGATGTTAGTTTGTTATCATCATTTTAATAGGAATAAGCACCGTGTATTTTTCTTTGTTTTTGTTAATCGTACAATTAGATCATTATGGTTTGACCAAAACGTTAAACTGGCAATCCTGTTGGATGAGTTGCTTTATTGTAACATATAATTTAATCACAGTGTTGGTTAGAGATTAGTCTTGATGACTTATATGTACTAGTTTTGCTTGCTAGTTCTCCTTAGATCTGCAGAGTTTACAATGACTGAAACTATTATTATTGACGTTTTAAAAAATACATTAGTCTGCATCACAAAAATAATAATGTATGACATAGAAATTTCAGCGATATGTAACCTTGAACTATGGCTACTTATAAGGTCAGGCCTACCTAATCAATGTTTAAAAGTATGTTACATGGAATATAAGGTGTATACTTGGAGGTTTGTTTTTTGTAGCTGAAAATCCAAAACGGTGATTCCACTATACTGTGGAATGGTAAAAGTAAGCTAGACGACGCTCTTAGTGGGCACAGGGAAAAACTATTTTTAACTTTTCTTTTTGTTTTGTAATTATATCAGTTTCTAACAGTAATATATTTTGTAGTTCATCAGCATTGTTTCAATCCAATATAATGCTGATCCTTACAACTTTCATTAGGATTAGGGAAAATACGCCGAATGCGATTCTTAATCTGTGGTTCGCGAAAAGATTGCATGATTACGAAAAGGATGCGGAATTATATTGTAAAGGTCCTATTGTGGTTCGCTGAGATAAAAATATCAGATAGTTCACGAACAAAAAAGTTTGAGAACCACTGGTTTAACCTATTTTTATGAGAGATAACTGAAACAATAAAAGTAGAAAATAAGCTATAGTCCAACTGTGTGCTTACATGTTGGTTTATTTCTAATTTTTGTTTGTATTTTAATGCAAATCTACTCAGTAATTCATCTGCACTCTTTCCCCAAGAGGAATTGAACCACTGATTTTAACGTTACAAGTCCGTAAACATATCACTGATTCACTGGGATACTTTAAAAGCGAAACTCCAAAATGTACCTTTTCGGTTCACTTAGTGCCATGTTTTACGTTAAATCTACTTTTGTGAGGTACAATATGCTTTGGTCACTTCAGAATACAAAGCCCACATTTAGTAAATAGATCGATCAAGAAACCCTCAAGTTTGAAGATCAAGGTCACTGTTAAAGGTAGTAAAGAAAACAATATTGTTACGTCT